CGCCATCTTCAGTGAAACGATTGCTAACATGCAATCTACTATTTAAAGGGAGTAAACAACTGTGAAGCATCGTATTTTAAATAAATGGGAATTGAACCATAGCTATTTGAACAGAAGTCTGTCCGGTAACTATCTGGGGGCGATCAATCAAGGCGAGATTGTAGGCCTACCCTAATGGTGTTTGTTCAGTTTATAGAGGTGACAATTCTTTATAAGGCCTAACTTTATATCTTACACTCCAAAAAGAGTAAAAAGGTGATTTTATATCCTTTCGTACTTGGACATATTCAGAAATGATAATCGAGACCACCGTTGGTTTTTAGAGTCCCGGTAGGACTAATTAGTCACGGCACAATACCAAATTATTTAGCGGAATGCATATTAATATTATAATACAAAATCAATATAATAATTAAATAAAACTATATGAATACCACTAACATATATAGGCTAACCATTAGGATGTGGAGAATAAAGGTCACTCCAAAAATTGTCAAAGCCATGTTAATCGAAGTTTCGTTTTTATAAACCATTCAGGAAATGACGGATACGGATTATGTAGGCCCTAACTGATTTTCCGAAAGGACACGTCTCTTGAGTGCGCGAATTGAATCAAATCCTAAAGGAACCTAGGATTATTGTTACTGGTTACGGAAAAATTAATCAATGGGTGAAGAAAAGTCTTTGAGCTGTGGCATGTTATGTAAGGCTGTCGCTTGTTCTCATTTTAATGAAATATCACCTACAGTAATATAATATTTTTTATTTATTTTATTTTATTTCAAGTTTGATGCTCAGCAGAACGTCACATACATATACAACAGCTTTCTCTCTCTCTAACCCCCCCCCCCCCTCCTCTTTCTCTCTCTCTCACTGCAGTGTCGAGAGCTTTTTCTATATTTTTTTATATTGGATGCAACATACATTTTATATGAGTGCCACTGTATCAAAAGGGGATCATTGATTGAAAATTGACAAATTGTCTGTGTGTCTGTGTGATGTCGCCACCAGCGACGACATTATTGGACGCTATTGTTTGTTGTGTATCAACTTGATCAACATGCGTGCGGCGGCGTCCACACACGAAACTAATTGTAGGCTAACGAATATTTTGAGCTAAAAAATCCTGTAATAATGGACAATCAAGTAGATGTACTAGATATCCACGAAGGTGATGAGGACGAGGAATTTAAAGTTGATGAGACTTCAGATCGTAAGTTGATTTTACAGCACTTTATTTAATTTTAATTAGAATCTATCGATGAATGTATAGGACTAGTGTAGTGGGTGTAGAGTAGGCGGCGTAGCCTAGATAAAAACTAGCCTAGGCCTAGGCCTAGGTAGGTTAGGTAGGCCTACCTAGGCTAGGCCGAGCTAAGGAGGTACATGTAGGCTTGGAAATCCATCATAGCCATAGACTATAATATAAATAGACTTAGGGGACTAGGCTCAGATGAGACTCGCCTTCATTTTTTGGGGTCGATCTAACGAATCTAACCAGCTAGATATTATGGGAACATATATATATATATTATAGGGCCTAGACCTACATATTATATATTTACACTCGCACTAGGCCTAGTACCATCCCACTCTAGCAAGGAATTCCATTTATTAATGACTCTTTTCTGGCATCAAAGAAATTGCTTCGTTTAGGCTAGTTTTTTCCCATCTTGGCTTGCCTAATGTTCAGATATATGATCTGTATTTATTTATTGAATGAAATGATCAAAACCTACCGTTCTGTCTTTTCTAAAGAAAATATTCAGAAGTTAAAGAAGAATGTAAAGAAGAGGAAAGGGAGAGGATTTGGTGGAGGTAAGTTAACTAGGCCTATTTTATTTTAATTTAGATATTTTCTTAGTTCAAAATGATGAATGTTTAAATTGAATATAAACAATTTACTTCCCCTTTTTTTACACCCTGTATATAGTTCTGCCACAGCCTAATATATTAGCTGGCTATATTTCTTAACTTTGTCAGAGGATGCTGAAGGTATGTCTATGTGAAACAATGGTACTGTGAATAGTGCACAACACAACAATTCATTGAGCAGTAATTATTATTAATATATCATTGTGATATATAGAAAAGACCTAAGACCTGCATTGCAATTGTTTGTTTGTTTTTTTTTTAAATAAATTTTGTGAGTCTAAATCATAGTTGTGCAAATCAAGTTATATGCAGTCCAACATGGGAGGTTTTTGAGATGTTCCCTTCCTTAATATTGTTAGGTGTGCTCCTTTCACCACCCTTGGATCTGTTACTATACTGAGGAGATGTCAAGTACTGTAATCAAAGTAAAATATAACATTAAAGAATTTATAATTGTAACTGAATGTCAAAAGTAATCTGGCAAAATATAAGCCTAGTAATCATGAGACTATCAATTGTTAAGCCTTGTGTACAGTAGGATTAGAAACTTATTAGCTGATGCTAGCTTGTTAATGTTAGCAGGCTATCCCCTTCCATATCCCCTTTCATGATCTTCAGTTGATATTAATGTATTCTGTGATTATTGGCTCATGCCAATATAATAAATAGCACTACAGACTTTTCTAAATCCGTCTATGGTTTACGTTTGTTTTGTCTTTTAAAGAATCAGGTGTTCGAACTGCAGCAGATGATTTTGAAGGAATGGAAGTTGACACCAGTGAAAGTGGACCCCAAAGATGTACGGATCTAAATATCTTGTATTTTTCATTTACATTCACTTAGTCATTATTCTTTAATTTTTAACCACAGCTTGTGGTAATAATAGAATTCTATTGCTTAAAATTTGTATATAATTTAGTTAGTTAATCTCAATAAAAATGTTTTACTTGTAGAAATTTTCACCTTGCATGTTAAAAGACGCAGATAAAATTGTTTTAGCTGCATGCCTATTATACACTTTTAAGTGTGGTAGGTAAAGCATTCAGGATTGTTATAGTGGAGTCTCTAAATCACAGAAACAGAGGTTAAGAACTCTTTCAACTGTTTTGGCCTTTATCAGTGAAACTACAGAATATTTTTTTTTCTTTTTCGAAAAAACAATCCTTTATTTCATTTCATTCATTGGTAGAGATCAGGTACACTTGTAGCTTAATTACAAAAAAAGCCACTGACATTTTTCTTCTATGTTTTCGTTCATTAAATTAATACATAAATCATCTTATGCTCTCATATGTTAGAGCTGGAAAAAGCAGTGCTCGGGGACAACATGCATGTTCTGGAGGCATTTTGGGGGGGGAGGGGGTAAAATCCAAATACAGTAATAAACTGTTGGGCTCTAGTATACAGACAACAGTTGGTGCTGGAGGCATTCTATCAAGACAATTTTCATGATCGGAGTCTCACACAGTTTTTTCCAGGCCTGCATAATGCTATCAATATGCTACAGAATAAAATACACTATAGCATTATTAGTAAAGTAAAGCCCCATTTACACTAGACATGATTACGACAAGATACAGATGCGTGCAGTGTTGAAGAATACAAAGTACGCGATGATATGCAGTCGTGTCTTAATCGTGTCTAGTGTAAATGGGGCTTAAGGCGAGACTTTTATACCTTATTTCATGAACTTATTTGTTTAAATATCGTCAGAGGAGGGCGAAAAAAAATTAAAAATAAATGGTTTTGCCAAAAACTTCCAGATGGAGGGGAAAATAAAAATTTTATTTTATTGTTGAATGTAAACCGTGTAGTAATGAGACGGTTAAATGCTTTAAATTTATATAATTAGGAAGAATTTCTTATCTTCACAGCTGTCGAAGGTTGGATCCTCTTTGTTACTGGTGTGCATGAAGAGGCAACGGAAGAAGATGTACATGATAAATTTGCTGATTTTGGTGAGATAAAAAACTTGCATGTGAATCTTGACAGAAGAACAGGTTACCTGAAAGTAAGTAACTGTTATTATTATAGTGCAGTATAATATTTGTACAAGTTTCAGTAACAAAAGACACATTCTGCTAGGTTGTCAAGTGATGCATAGTTGGTATGAATGGTAAACAGACAGCGCCAGTGCCGTAGCTGTGTGACTCTCAGTAAAACGAAAATGTGCGACTTCTTCGTGTTTCTGCTGTAAAGCACATATTTGATGTTGAAAAATTTTGTTTGGAATTCGTGTCTCAATAATCGGACATATTCTTGTCCATAATTTCTTTGTAGATGATCAAATAATTTCATTTGGTTAAATAGTAATTTAAAAAAATACTACAATAGTAAAAAAAAACTCTATTTTGAACAATCGTAGTGCCTTTCCTTGCCATTTATTTCTCATGTTAACAGTGGGTGGTTGATTTCACAAACATCACGTTACCTTTTCCTATACTTTCACATTGATCGCGCTGTAAGTTCTCCATAATTATAACCCGTTATATGTCAAGTGACCGGCTGTAAACAAACCTTGCGGGATGTGTCTATTGTATTAGTTTTTTAAGTTACTTATATTTTTAAGCACAAATCATAAGTAATTTTGTCAGTATGATACATTGACCTTACCAAGCAAGGAATTTACTGCATTTATTGTATTGTTAAATATGAATTTCATCAGTGCAGCAATACAATGTAAATATCCTTCAGAAAAATCTTGAGTATAGTAGTACACACTAATACCATTAGACTGCTAACCTAGTATACTTCACTGCAAATCGGACCCCAGAACCTCTTTGCTGTTCTTGTTGTTGTTACCAGAACTTTAAAAGCGTCCAGCGTCACCAGCTATGAACGGACGTGCAGGAAATTTTGTACACGGCGGTAAACTAGAGATGATTTCCAACAAATGTTCATGACCCTTTTTTAAGTTTAACCCTAGTCTACCCCATAATGTACACTATACTGTACACCTACAAAACAGGGGTTTCAGCAAGGACTGTACATTATTGCCATTACCAATAATTGGACAAGTCGCATGGATGGCACGGTCGGTTAACGCTGTGTAGTAGGGAACCAAAGGTTGTCGGTTTGAATCGCATCTTGGTATGCAATTTTTTTTTTTCAATTTTAAGACATTTAATTTTTTTGTGTGTGTTTTCAGTGTTTATTGTAAATAAACTTTTATGTACATGAATCTTATTTCTTTAGTATTACTTCAGCCAATAGTGTTAGACCTACTGTAGATATGTTTGGTACCTTCAAGTGTCCTACATTAGACCTATTTTCTCAAATATTTATTATATACTGTTTAGGAATACAGTGCAACTTGTTTTCTTACAAAAAACTTTACTAATGTATTGCCTAGGATTTTCGAAAGTAAAGAACAATCTTCGTCCAGATGCACTCTTCAAGATAGATCATAGCATGAGACTTATAATTTTTGAATAAATTATAATAATTATAGTTATGCGAGTCATTGGAAATATTTTGTTTCTTGTATGGAAAATTCAATATTTTTTAATTTATACTTTTTTTAAATTTATACTTTTCTAAATGGTTTTGTTTAAACATAAATGATGCATTGATGATGCATGACATGGCTTCATCCAATTCAGATTTGAATGTTAAAATCCATGCTATGAATTCTGAGAGGCTATTCTGTTTATGTTTGCTGCCCTCTTATGTCCAGTTACTGCTCCAGTATTAATTACAATAATATTATATAATTATATATAACAGCAACACTGTAATTTTGTCAAATTCTGTCGTTAGCAATAGACATTCTAAAATGTTTTCAAACAGCTTTCCCCTAGACCCTATCTGTCTTCCTCAGACCCCTGTTGGACAGCTTAGTCCCACTGAATGTATTCTAAGGGCCACCATATTCTAAATGAGTGCAAGTAAACCAAAACAATGAGTCAATCAGAGAAGCAATGTATTTGCTGCCCTCTGTTGATGTATAGCATAATAAAGTTTGTGTTTTTGTTCATGATGCTGTACTGTATGTCAGTATATTCAGTGCTCTATAATATTTCTATTATATCTTGGTTGAACTATATTTTCTGTTTGACTCTCAGCAGTCATAGAAAATTTAATTCAATGTCAAGTTTTAATTAATTTGCTTGTGTTTTTTGTTTGATGCATAACAAATATCACCCATAATTTACAGTACGAAGTCCTCATTGGTTATACTACAAAATATTTTAAAAATCACATTGTGTATTAGAAAATAATTTGTTTGAAATATACATGGTTTTGGACTGATTAAGGACATTAGTCCTTCATCATGGTCTTTCTACCTGATTTCTAGCTGAGTTTCTTTTTATGCTATCTGAATACTGTCATGATATTTCCAACCTTAGTTTAGAGGAAATTTCCCATCCTTGGTAGGATATTCCTATACCCTGTCAGGAAATACCCCACTATTTCAGAATTATTTCCCATCCTCTGAGGGAAATTTACACTCCTGCTATGGAATTCCTCACCCCAACTTTTTGCAAATTCCCATTTGGGAATTATTTCCGATCTTTAGAGGGAATTGTACATTCCTGCTATTGAATTCCCCATCCCTGCTTTTAGCAAATTTCCACTTGGGAATTATTTCCCATCCTCAGAGGGAATTTTACATTCCTGCCATGAAATCCCCACCCCTACTGTTGGCAAATCCCTACTTCGAAATTATTTCCCATTCTCAGATTGAATTTTTTTACTCCTGCTGTAGAATTCTCCACATTTTTGTTCTAATTTTCAATTGAAAGTTTGCTTAAAGTAAGTAATTCAAATTAAATTAACACAAATCTGGCTTATCATCATAGGAAAGCGAAAAAAAGATAACTATCGTTTAATGTAAACTCTCCTTCTGGTGAAGGGCAAAATTAATATTTAAATACACTTATCAACATAATAACATTAAATAAGGGGAAAAGCTTCTGGCAACCAAAAAGACAAAGATCAGTGGCTTCTGTTGGTACAGTAGTGTAGGTATCCCAAATTTTTGGAAAGAAAATAATAACAGAATGGAAAAAGGCATTCGTTTATAAATATGTCGACAAAAAATATTTAAACTGTACAGGCATGTACACTGTAGTTTTAACATTCAGAAGGTGTCTAAATACCAGGGGCCGGATTTATCAAACTAGAAATCAGCTTAAGTTCGTCTTAAGTCTATTTTCTTGCTTAAGTCAGATTTATCAATATTGCTTAGCTTAAAAATTGCTTAAAATTAAAAAGTCAATCGTATGCATGCTCCATCTACTGTAAGACGATTTTTAAGATAAGATTTTGCTAAGATGGTTTGATAAATCAGCTTAACATATTTGCTTAGGGACATTTTAACTTTTTTGACTTAAGACATTTGCTAAGCTGAGATTAATAAATCCCGAGCCTATTCTGTTGCAATTGGTTATTTCTTATCAGTCTTTTCTTATTCCACCATTGAAAAAAAACAGAGTATGTCACTGTTACTTAGGGATGTAACCAACGTTCATGTTTCTTAGCTGTAAAAACACATTTAAACTATTTAATGTTAAAATTCTGAATGTGTCATATCATTTCTGTTATGCATTATTACTTCTTTATCATTATCTGTTTCTCCTTTCTCTCTCCACCATTGAAAACTACTGAGTACACATAGGGATGTAACAATATTTGTGTCACCTATGTCACCCCATGTACCAGAAAGTTAACAACATCATACAATGCTGAATGTATGATTTCCCTGTGAAATGAGGTCGGAGCATTCAACTTGGCATATGTTGATTACTTGTTGAGGCCAGGTAACACTTGTTTTAGATAATCCAAGCAAAGGCTAATTAGGATAACTATGTAGGCTCCCTGGAGACCTGTAGCTTCTCATTGAGAATCAAAGCCAGATGAGCCACACTGGTCTGTGGATATCTTGCCCTACATAAGTACAACACAAATGTTCAATTGTTGTAGTGATCGTAATATCTACAACAAGCTGCAGATGAGACTGACATTGCATTAGGCTGAGTAAAAAAGAAAGTACTTTCTCGTCCTAATATTTTGAAAAAAGTGGAATGAGGGTACTGGTTTTATTTTTCTCCAAAATGGCAAATCCAAGATGGTCGATGGGAAACAGCTAGAGTACTACTTTCTCACTATTATCAAGTAGACACATTGAAAGCAAATAAAGAAGCACTGGACATGATTCATACCATATGCATCCCCATCTACATATGATTGAGAGAGGAATTTTACTGATGTGAGTTAGCCAAATTTTTGTACATTTTGTAAAATAAAGGAAAGAAAAAAAAAAGAAATTTGGTGAGGCAGAGAAAAATGCACAAGGGGATGGGAAACTAGTATTATTTTTTTAATTTGGACTTACTAACAGTTTAAGTAACATATCTACCATACTCTCTAGTATATTATACATGAAATGTTTGGCACATTTACTCATTCAAGAATGACATACAGTACTGTATACAAGTGATCTGTTTAGCTCCATTGTTTAATAGCAAATCTTGAATAGGCATAATAATACTTATAATAATATGTACTATTTTCATTTTACCAAAGAACATTTTGTTTGATTAAACTTATTTGTCTATAAAAAAAAAATGCAAATAAACAGAGAGGCACATTTTTAGTAGTTAACCAAGTAAATTTTTAATTGGTCTCTACTAACTTGCATAATATAAAACCAGTGGAGGATCCAGGAATTTGAAATAGAGGGGCCCAAAGAGGGACTTTCACAGATGGAGGGATGATACTACCTCAGCCCCACCATGGTTGGGGGTGGGGCTGAGGTAAGAAAAATTTTGATTATGACACCTCTAGATGGCCGGAAATGGCATTCTTACACTTAAATTTGAATATAATTTTCTTTTGTTCTCAATTTTTTTTTAATTCTGAAAAATGTTTTGCGGGGGGGGGGGGGGGGGGGGGAGGCCTGGGCCGGCTGGCCCCTCCTCCCCTTGGTGCTGCCTATGAAAACAAAAACCAAAAGGAAATAACAAAAACATAATTAGAAATGCCAAAAATGAAAATATCAACCAAAAA